AGGTATTACACGAAATTATGAATATTGGGACCATTACCAACAAGGTAATAATCTTCCACAACCCCTGCTGCTCATATGTCTGCTGACCATAACTAGAGTTCTTAAGAGATTCTAACTGTAGGGTGCTTCATGATTTAGCAAGAAAAAATTAGGTGGGCCAATCAGATTCTTTTCAGATTTTGGAACTGGAATATCAGAAGGTCAGCTTACTTAGCTAGGAGGAGCTGGAGTAGAAGGTTCTACATATTCAGGAACTGGGTCCACGATCTGGGGACCTGAAGAAGCTGACAAGAAGGCAGAAGAAGTAGATTCACAGAGAGAGAAAAATTAAATAGATTTATACAGAGAGACAAAAATGAGAGAGATCATTTTGGCTCAGAGAGCTATCAAGAGCAGCCTTGTTCCTGACTTTCCAATTCATATGAAACTTAGTTGAACTTTATTCCCTGTCCTTTGATGGCCATGAGAATAAATGCTGCATTCCCACAATAAAGGAATCCTTACTTCAAAAAGAAAAATAGGGCTGGCTCCCATGACCTGGTGGTTAAAGCAGCTGGATGCCACATGGTCAACAACCTGGTTCAAGTCCCAGACCTAGTGGCTTGGGAAACACACAGGGTTCATAGGCATATGTGCCCAAAATCCCAAAGGAAAGGAGAGATAGAGGAGAAGGAATTCCAGTGTGGTCATTCCTTTTGGGGGATGCTTGCTCCTCTTCTCTCTGTCTCTCCATCTCTTGGAAGAGTTCACATGCCCTCTGGAAAAAAAAGGGGGGGGCGGGGGAGTGAGAGCTAAGGCCATATTTTACTGGGCATTAATTGCTGTCTGAAAGAGTTTGAGCTTTGGGCCAGCAGACGGCATGGAGGTTAAGGCAGCTGGGTCCCAAATGGCCAACTGTGCAGTTACAATTTTAGTCCCAATGACGAAAGTTTCACTGGGAGGTGGGCCAGGAGGCAGTGTAGTGGTTAAGGTGCTGTACCGCCACATAGCCAACCACAGTTCAAGTCCTGGACCTGGCAGCTTTCTCACTTTCCCTTTTTCTCTCTCTCTTACTCTGTCCCTCTCTGCTCAAATTAATAGTTTGTTTGGGCCAACTGTGCAGTTACAATTTTAGTCCCAATGACGAAAGTTTCACTGGGAGGTGGGCCAGGAGGCAGTGTAGTGGTTAAGGTGCTGTACCGCCACATAGCCAACCACAGTTCAAGTCCTGGACCTGGCAGCTTTCTCACTTTCCCTTTTTCTCTCTCTCTTACTCTGTCCCTCTCTGCTCAAATTAATAGTTTGTTTGTGGACACTCCCACATGGTCAACCACGATTCAAGTCTAGACCTGGTGACTTGCTTTCTCGCTTTCTCTCTCTCCCTCTCTCTGTCTCTCTCTGGTCAAAGTAAAATAAATGAACGAATAAAATAAAATTAAATTAATTCTTTTTTTTTTTTTTGGAGAGGTTTTTTCACTATAGGGCGTGTGCACTTGCCAGACAGACAGAGAGAGACATAGAGACAGAAAGCGAGAGGGGGGATGGTCACGCCACAATCCCTTCTCCTCCATTCTCCTCTCGGGATCTTGGGCACGCACACACACGTGCCCGGCGTGAGTTTTAAGCCACCGAGTCCGGGACGCGAACCGCGGTTGACTACATGGGAGTACAGCGACATAACCATTACACTAACTGCTGGTTCCCTAAAATAATTCTTAAAAAAATCAATAATAATAAAATCTATTTAAAAAGAATTGTTTGATTCAACTTTATGTATTCATTTACTTATTATTTATTTATTTTAATTTGACCAGAGAGGAGCAGAGTGAGAGAGGGAGAGAAAGCAAGCTGTCAAGTCTGAGACTCAAACCATGGTTGGTCACGTGGGCATCCAGTGACCTTAAGCACCACACCACCTGCCAGCCTCTCTGGTCAAATTTTAAAAAGTAAATAAGTAAATATGGGGGCCGGCAGGTGGCATAGTGGTTGAGATACTAGACTCTCACATGGTTGACCATGGTTTGAGTGTCGAACCTGGAAGCTTGCTTTTTCACTCACCCTCTCTCTCTCTGTATATCTCACTGGTCAAGTTAAAAAATAGGAATAATAATGATAAATAAAATTAAATAGATAATTATTTAAAAATAAATAAATAAAGTTAAATAAAATAATTATTAAAAAAAAGAATTGAAGGTATAGGGGCCAGCAGATGGCATAGCAGTTACATCACTGGACACTCATGTGGCTGATTGTGGTTCGAGTCCTGGATCCGGTGTCTTGAAAGTCACATCTGGTGAACGTGTGTGTGCATGTGTGCCCAAGGTCTCAGGAAGAAAATGGAAGAGAAGGAGTATAGTGTGGCTATCCCCCCTGGGGGCTGATTTCTCACTTTACCTCTGTCTCTGTCTCTCTCTTTCCAGCGAGAGCACACACCCAAGGCAAAAACCTCTTAAAAAAAAAAGAATTGAATATAAGGGGCCAGCAAGTGACATGGAGGTTAAAGCACTAGACTCCTATGTGGTCAACTGTGGTTCCAGTCCCACACCCCAGTGGCTTGAACGGTAGCTTGAAACTCTCATCAGGCATGTGTGCATGTGTGCCCATCCCCGGAGAATGGAGGAGAAGGGATTGTGATGTGGCCATCCTCCTGAAGAGTGGTTTCTCACTTTTTTTTTTCTCTGTCTCTCTGTGTTTCTAGTGAGCACATGCATCCTATAGCCAACAAATCTTTCTAAAAAATAAAAAAGAATTGGAGGTATAGGGGGCCAGCAGGTGGCATGGAGGTTAAGACGCTGGATCCCACATGGCCAGCTGTGCAGTTCAAGTCCCGGACTTGGTGGTATAAATATCACACAGTCTCCTATAGGAGACTGGAGGAGAAAGGATGGTGGCATGGCCATTCCCCCTGGGGAGTGATTTCTCACTTTGTCTCTCTCTCACTGTCTGGTGAGCACAACACCCTATAGGAAAAAAAAAAATAGAATTGGAGATCTATTTGATAAACCTTTAGGATGATTTCAAAGTAGAAGATGAGAGTCACCAAGGTTTTGACTTAAGCAACACATTTACTAGGAGAAGATGGAAGAAGGAATAGACTTGGATTGGGGGATAAATCTAGAGGTATTTGAACCCAAAAAGTTTGCAATACCATTGGATATCCAAGTGGAATATCAGATAGGCAACTGGATATATAAACCTGAGACTCGGAGAGGCCAGGTCAAGGGATATGCATTTGAGAGTCATCAACCTATAGACGAGAATTGATGAGATCATTCTGGGAGAGAAGAGAAAGAAGTTTAGGACAGCCAACATTTCGAGTTTAGGCAGAGGAAGAGGAGCTGTTAGTGAGGGAGGCAAAGTTGGAGTGGCTAGTGTCACGAAAGCCAAGAGAAGGAACTTTAAGGAGGGAGTGGTTAACCATGTCAGACACTACTTAAAGCTCAAGTGAGATGATATGGAAAGATGGGTTTGGCAATGTGGAAGTGTTGATCATTTTGACAAGAGCAATTGCAGTAGAGTGGAAGAACTAGACACCAGTTAATGTCTCAACGGACAGGTGGGGGTGATGAGGGGAAATCAAGCAGCAGAAATAGAAATATAAAGAAAGATACAGGTGCCAGACAGTGGCTATGCAGTAAACCACAACATTCTGTGAGATGATTGCACATGGAAAAGTCGCTGGTTCGAGTCCATAGATTTCTCTGAGTAACTTGCCCATGATTTAAGGTTGGCTGAGGGTTAGGGGTGAATTGTGGTATCAAGATCCTGTTAGGGGTATATCTCTCTTTCTTTCTCACTCATGGAGGAGAAATATAAATAAACTAAAAAAAGAAGAAAAAGGAAAGGTGCAGATATTAGAACCAACTTGGTGAGGACTGATGTGGGGAATTAGGCAAATAATCATGCGGTTTCTAGAGATGAAAAGGAGGGTTGTCATGCCCCCAATTCTTTTTTTTTAATTACTTAATTTTATTTATTCATTTACTTATTTTATTTTAACCAGAGAGAGACACAAAGAAAGAGAGAAATTGAGAAAGCAAGCCACCAGATCCAGGACTTGAACCATGGTCGGCCATGTGAGAATGTCCAGCGCCTTAACCACCACACCACCTGCTGGTCCCTGTTGTGCCCCCAATTCTAAGAACAAAGAGAGGGGTATATGTAGGAAGGAAAACAATGATTTCCAGGTGGGGACAAATTGATTTTAATGTGCTGGCAGGACATTCACATGGCAAAATTAAAAAGATATTTAGGCCTGAAGCTCTGTGATTTTCCAAATCTGTATACCCAGTCCAGATATGCAAAGTGGTCTGAAATGGACATACAGCTTTAGAAATCACCAACATAAATATTGTGGTGGCCAGCCATGAATGTGTATAAGAGCTCTCCTCAGAAGAGCCAAAGAAATAAAATGAAAGTCCAAGACAGACGAGAACTCTTGTATTAAAGGGATGGTCAGAGAAATGAAAGCCAGCAAAGAAAACCAAGGAAGACTCACAAGAGAGTTATAGCAAAGCCAAAAGAGAAAAGATTTTCAGAATAAAAGGATGGTCAGTGATACTGTCTCAGTCCATTTCGTGCTGCTATAACAGAATACCACACACTGGGTAATTTATAATGAACAAATTTATTAGCTCATGGTTCTGAAGGCTAGAAGTCCAAGATCGAGAGGTCAGCATCTAGCAAAGGCCTTCTTGCTTCCTTAGTCTATGTTGGAGGGACGAAGAGAGCCTGGTGGGTGTAGGGGTAGCATGCAAACTTGCTCTTTTATAAGAAACCCGTTCCTGTCATCAGGGCATTAATCCACTCCTGGGGGTCGTGCTCCATGACCAGACACCTCCCATTAGTCTCCACCTCTCAACATGGGCATCAACTAGGCATCAAATTTCCAACTCGTAAACTTTGGGATACTCCACACCAAATGCCAAATGCTCTGTTGTCAAGTACACTGTGAATAGAGAGGCAGTTGGTAGAACTGACACTCAGACCATCACAATGACCAGGACTTCTTGTATTCACAGGCCTCTCCAGCACCGACCGGACTCGTCTTGATTTCCACTTCTCCTCTGACAGAACTGCTGGCAGCGTGGAGGTCCAACAGGCCAGCCTCATGTTCTTTGTGCAGCTTCCTCCCAATACCACCTGGACTTTGGCAGTGAGAGTTCTTGTGCTAGGCCCACATGCCACCAACCTCACAATGGCTTCTCAGCACCTGCTGGTGGTAGATGCCAGTGGCTGGCACCAACTCCTCCTGGGGCCTGAAGCTCAGGCTGCCTGTAGCCAGGGGCATCTGGCCCTGGAACTGGTACCTGAAGCCCAGAGTTCAGTCATCCTTGGTGGACCTGCCCATAGGCCTTTCGTGGCAGCCCGGGTGAGAGTTGGGGGCAAGCACCGGGTTCGCCGACGAGGTGTCGAATGCCAGGGAGGGTCCAGGATGTGCTGTCGACAAGAATTCTTTGTAGATTTCCGTGAAATTGGCTGGCATGACTGGATCATCCAGCCCGAGGGCTATGCAATGAACTTCTGCACGGGGCAGTGCCCAGTACATGTGGCTGGCATGCCTGGCATTGCTGCTTCCTTTCACACGGCAGTGCTCAACCTACTCAAGGCCAACACAGCTGTAGGCACCACTGGAGGGGGCTCGTGCTGCGTGCCCACAGCCCGGCGCCCACTGTCTCTGCTTTACTATGACAGGGACAGCAACATTGTCAAGACTGACATACCTGACATGGTGGTAGAAGCCTGTGGGTGCAGTTAGTCTATGAGTGGTGTGGGCAACCCAAGGTGGGCCAGGCAAACATGCCCTCATGGAGGTGCCCCTCCTTGAGAGGAGAGAATGGCCCCATTACTGCCTCTGTCCAGAATGGAGAGTCCTTCTTCTTGAACAATCTATGGAAATTATCCTACCTTTGACTTAAGGAGCTCTACATTTAAAGACTGTCATACCATCTTCATGACCACTGACCTCTCTCCTTGGGCATACTCTGTCCAGCATAACCCTCTTGTGTAACCTCCACAGCCGGAACTCTGATCCACCTCCAACCATGAATAGTGACTTCTGGTTCCCAGACAAGACACCCTTAGCTCACCTTTTAAATTTTGTTTTAATTTGCCAGAGGGTGCCTGCACTTGTTGGAGAAACACAGAGAGAGAAAGGGAACGTGCCCACACACCATGAGGAGTGGGCATGCTATAATCCCTTCTCTTTAATTTCTCCCTCCTTTTGGGATTTTGGGCACACACCCACATGCACCTGATGTCTTTCTCTCTCTCTTTCTTCTCTTTCTTTTTCTCTTCCTTTTGTTCCTTTTTTCTTTTTCTTTATTTGTAGATTTTGGCCATAGGGCATGTGCACTCACCAGAGACAGAGAGAGGTAAAGTGAGAAATCACCCCCCAGGGGGATGGTCAGACCGTAATCCTTTCTCCTCCATTCTCCCTTTGGGACTTTAGGTATGCACACACACACACACACACACACACACACACACACATCTGGTGTGTCCTTTAAGCCACTGAGTCCATGACTTGACCACGAAGTTAGTCATGTGGGGTCCAGCACTTTAGCCACCATGCAACCAGCTGGGTCATGCCCAGTGTGTCTTTCAAGTTGTTGGGTCCAGAACTCAAACCATTGCTCACCCTTAGTCAGCTTCATAATCCATGCCTCCCCACCCTTTGCACTTGATAGTTCCCATTCCAGGATAAGCTGATTTGGCTCCTTGCCCCAATAGGTCTGACTTCCCGGAAAGCCCCTTTCGATTCACCAAAGATCGGATCACTGTTCTCCAAACGTTGTCTTGAACCCCTTTCCTTCTGACTTGCCCAGGCGGACAGCGCATGCTCTTGTTACATACCCTCATCCATTCCTTTTCTCTGCCCAGCTCAGGGCCTGGGTGCTGGCTCTCCTGGGCTCCATCACCTGC